CACCCAAGTGAATTGAATGAGGAGCGGCTCGCAGAGCCGCCGCCTAAGAGGAGGAAGTGGACCAGCCAGGAAAGCGAACTATTAGAGAACCTGGCGAGGAACTCAGAAGGTACTCTGGAAAAGCTGAGTGCGACCTTGCAAGATCGATTCCCGGGGAGGTCGAAGGAGGCAATCAGGCTTCGCTTGAAAGCCTTTCGGAGGCTGAACCGGTTCTGGGGCGGATACTCAGCAACGGCTGATAGTGAGACTGTGTACGAGATTGAGGGCAATGACCCTATTGACATCAGATTGTGGAAATCTAAGATGTTCAAAGCGGTGCTGGAGTCACCGGTATGCCAAGGGGATAAGCTTTCGGCCGTTGACGGGGTGCGGCGGCTGGCTGAGGGGTTGCAGAACGGGGCCTTTACGGAGATGACGGCGGCCCGGGAACTGGAAGGGTATATAAAGAGTGAGTTCCCGCACACATGGGCGCCGAAGAAAGAGAGAGATGGCAAAAAGCACACCAACCGCGAGTGGAGCAGGAAGAGAATGAGACGGGCTCAGTATGCAGTGGTGCAAACTCTGTATACAAAGAGCAGGAAAGATGCAGCGAACTTGGTGCTCAGTGGCGACTGGGCGACATGTCACCTGCACGAACGGAACGAACCGCCATCGAATATGCTCGAGTATTGGAAGGAGCTCTTTGAAGCTGAAAGTGTGGAGGATAAAAGGCCTGTCATCAAGGATCGATCGATCCAATGGCAGATTTTGGATCCAATAACGGTGGAAGAGGTGAAGGAGGTGGCAGTGGCGATCGGCAAATCGGCGGCTGGATTGGACAGAGTAGGAGCCGCTTCCCTTTGGAAACAGCCATCGGGAGTGACCCAACTACTCAACCTGCTACTATTGCTGGAGTTTCCCTCCATGCACTTGTCCAAGGGGAGGGTTACGTTGATCCCAAAGGTGAAAAACCCTAAAGGCCCGACGGACTTCCGGCCGATAGCTGTAGCTTCTGTCATTCTCCGGACCCTACATAAGATCCTAGCCCGAAGGTGGCTAAAGGTGATGAAACTTGACTCGTTGCAATTAGCGTTCCAGCGGCGTGACGGTTGCCTGGAAGCCTCGGAGTTGCTGCAGACGGTTATAAGGAATGCCCACTGCAAATCCCAAAGCTTGGCTGCGGCCTTTGTTGACGTATCGAAAGCTTTTGACACGGTGTCGACCAATACAATCCTGAGGGCTGCGCAACGGCAGGGTCTCCCCCCGCCGTTTGTTAGCTATTTAAAGCGGCTCTATGAAGGATCGTCGGTCCAATTGCTTACCACCACCATTCGCTGCGGACGTGGGGTGAGGCAGGGTGACCCCCTGTCGCCGCTCTTGTTCAACGCGGTTATGGATGAAGTGATTGGGGGCTCGCTCCCTTTGCTTGGGGTGGAAGTTGGGGGAAGGCGAATCGGGGCACTTGCCTATGCGGATGACCTAGTTCTCTTCGCGGAGAACGAAAGCCGTCTGAAAGACAAGCTGGTGGCTCTGAACAGCGCGCTACAAGCGGCTGGGATGGCTATCAACGCTTCGAAGAGCTGTACCTTGACGATTACCAGCAATACACACCAAAAAACGGTTGCTTTGCAACCAACGCGGTCCTCCATTGGGGGTGAAAGTCTCAAGCCGTTGTCTGTGGACGATAAGGTAACCTATTTGGGGTTGACCTTTAATTGGAAAGGCTTGGTCCGCATGAAGCATACCAGAGTGCTGGAAGAGAACCTCAACCAGCTAAGAAGGGCTCCGCTGAAGCCATATCAGAGACTGACCATCTTGAAACACCACCTGATCCCGAGGTTGAACCACGAGCTTGTACTGGGATTCCCTCACCGGAACACCCTGAAGTCGATGGACGTGATGATTAGAGGTGCTGTGCGGGGCTGGCTACGGCTGCCTTCCGATACGACGCTGGCATACATGTATACGAAAGTTGCCGAAGGAGGACTGGGCTTGCCCTGTCTCTCCACCACTATCCCTTTGGCTCAACGAAAGAGGCTTGAGAAAATTGCTGCAGGTGTGGACCTGCTGGCAAATACGGTGAAAAGCAGTGAGAGCTTTCGAGTTCTACTGAGGAGTGCGAACTTGCCGGTGCGTGTTGGGGGCGAAGTGGCTTGCTCCAAACAGGAGGCTGAAATATACTGGAAGCGAACGTTGTACAGATCATGTGATGGCAGAGGACTGGAGGTCGAGGCTCACCCCTCGTCCTACGATTGGATTGGTGATCCATCCAGGATCCCAAGCAGAGTGTTTTTGAGAAGTTTGAAGTTAAGAGGCGGTCTACTGCCCACCAAGGTGAGAGCCGCACGGAGGCGACCAGGATCGAATGTTGAAGTGAGATGCAAAAATGGCTGTGGCTTACCTGAAAGTGTTGACCACATCACGCAAGTGTGCCATGTCACGCATGACGTGAGATGTGAACGGCACAATCGGATAGCAAAGAAAGTGGGTAAAGCGTTTGAGAAGCTGGGAGCCAAAGTGTGGTTCGAACCAACAGTGCTATGTGGACCGTCGTTTTGTAAACCGGATCTGGTGGTGAAGATAGGTGAATCACTCTCTGTTATGGACGTGTGTATCACTACGGCTCGTCGCATAGATCAGACCAAGAAAGCAAAGATAGAAAAGTATGGAATGCCCGAGATAGAGCAAGGGTTGCTGCAGCTCGCTGAGCTTCCCCCATCGTCAAAGGTACGGCATGTGCCAGTAGTCCTCACGAACAGAGGACTGATAGACAGAAAGTGTGGAATGAGGCTGCAGCGAATGGGTATCCATCGCCGCGTACTTGGGGACCTGGCAGTCACAGCGCTGCTAGGGTCATTAAAGTGTTATGATCTATTTATGAGGGGCACGAGACGATACTAAAAGGAGCGAAAGTGAGTGAATGTTACTACTTGTGAAGGGTACCGTAGGCCCTATGACGGCGTGCACTTAAACCCACGGGAGGTGCATGCCCGATGTTCCCCGGCGTCAGGGGATAGCTGTGCAAGCAGCAATCTGGGTGGCATTGTGACCGTTTAACATCAGGCAGGCTAGACCGAGTATGACTATAATAGTCAAACAGCTTGTATAACATCAGAACGCTGAGTCAC